CGACCTAGAAGAGTTAAATAAGGAGTCAATGCACGCCAACCAGCCGGAACGATCGTACTCCCGCACTGTTCACACAGTAGTCGATCCGCTTAAAGGTCTCTACTGCTTCGGCCACCATCTGCTTCACACTGGCCAGGTCGGTCACATCCACTGCAATGGCAAGCGGGTAGTAGGCCGGGTTGGTGGCATATTCCGCGCTGCGATCTGCGCTCTTCCGGGCCGCTGTCAGGTTCACATCGGCAAATACCACCCCAATGGCTCCTTCGGCGGCAAAGGCGATGCCGACATCCCGTCCAAGGCCACTTCCTGGTTCGAGTGGTGTCAGAAATGTTGATGATATTCATAGTGTCCACGGCGGGAGGAGTGGGATGGCCTACCAGCTCCGGTGACGAGGGCGACGCCGGTGATTCCCAACGCTATGAAGTATTACCTTTGGAAGAGCAAATGAGCTAAAGGCAGAAGAAGGTTCAACTCACAGATCCCGGTGGCCCCTTCGGAAAGGAGTTTAAATAGTGGGATGCATAGTAGAACAAGGGGCCCACCACCAATCGTCATCATCCCACCTCGGCCCGGCCATCTGCCTTCCTCCAAGACCAGGAACCAAGTCTAAGTCATCCAGCCATGACCTTTCTCCTCGGTATTTGTCTGCTTTCTGTCTGCGTGGTTGTGCTTGTGTTTATGTAATTTTCTACTCCCTCGAGTCTCTTCCGGGGAAGGTGAATCTGGGGTATGGTGCCTGAGGCGAGACGGGACCAAGTGGGATGGCGTCCATCCCGCCGGAACAGTCCAGCTGCATGGCAGGAGTGGCAGGATATCTCTACGATGGTTGTCCTACTCGCTTGGTGATCTCTTCATTGACACCAACGGCATTGCGCATTACATACGAGACCCGGCAGATATTTCCAGCAGGGACCTACACTTTCACTGAAGAAATAATCACGATCAGATATTCGTCCATGACCCTTCAAGTGGTTCATCCCCTGGTATAGTCGATCCAACCCCAAACAAATTCCAAATGGATACTAATACGCTACTTATGATCCCAGCATTCTCCACGTCGGCTTCCTGGCACTGGGCGCAGCACTTCTTGCGCTCCAGCAGCTGCAGGTTGGCGTATATTTTAAGTGAGACCAGATGGAACAGGGTAAGGTTCAGGCCCAAGAAAAGATTGCACTCGCCTAGGCGTCCTGCAAAGAACGTTTCTTCCAGCTCATCGGTCTTTTTAATGTGGGCACGCCATTCATACAGATACACTTTCCATGAACTTACTAGGTCTGCGGTATGATTTCGCTCAGGCGATCGATAATGCCGATGGTGCTCCTCGTGGGCCTCCTTGCAAACTCCCCAGAGCTCCGATAGAAACGCACAGAGGCTGAAGTGGTTGTCTTCGAGCGACAAATGCGGCATCTGCAGATATCCTCTCACAAACCTTGCCGTATCGAGTCCGTCTCTCATCATAGTGGAAAAGGCACTTCGGGCTCGGCCTGCGGGCTCACTCCAGTGCAGTTGTGTTCAGGCCACCCTCGTCTCGGCTCTCCACAAGGCCTCTGACATAGGGAGTGGCTGCCCCATTTCTTGGTAACGCAGGGTCGGGGGCCGATTGAGGATGATACACAAGTATGCGTCAATTCGCATGACGATATATACCAGTCTAAATGATGCCGGCGATTAGAAATATGTTCATCGGAGGGGAAAGGTAAGCCAGGGTATACCGTTTCATCTCTTCACATGCCACCCAACGCTCTTCCGCTGATAGTTGCTGATTTTCCGGGAGCCACTGATTGTTCAAGGCCCCTATTCGTCGAAATGTGGAGATGGTGATATCTGTCCACTGCGCCGCCCAATTCAAGGTCGCCATTGGTGCCTGGGATGATTAGCTGAATGCCTTTCTATTATCCTAGGGTGGTGATTCCTACGTCTCCTAGAATTGCGTAGATCAGGGTTATCACCAACGCCTGCAGGGTTTGCAACGATACATCCGCAGCCGACTTCTCCGTTAACAACTCATCTGTCTAACCCATGTCAGCGTCGCAACCGCCCAGGGTCTCAAGGCACAGTACTTACTATCTTCGGCATCAAAGCCTGTGTCAGTTCCTGGTTGATTGCGTATGGGACCAGGTGGTGGCGATTCGCATCTTGCATCCACATGGCCAGGTTGGCCAAGGCACTCGTCAGTAGAGGGGTGTGCTTCTCGGGAGTAAATGTGGGCACGTGCAACATGGGCCATATTTGGTGGAAATGGTCAAAGTCGGCAGATTTGATCTGTGTGGTGACAAACTGGACTTGACTCGCTATCGCCTCGTGCAGTTGCGGCCAACCACTAGATGATAATGGAGCCGCCATCCTCCCGGAGGCCGAGGCTTCTGCATCATCATCAGATAAGAACCCATGGAGCTCATGCTTGAACCTACCTGACAAACTGCGTCTAGTCGCGAGGCTAGCACTCTCCTTTATCTGAATCCCTGAAGGCTGGCTTGTGGCAAATTGGTCACCAGATTCTGAAGACTTGCGGCGAGGCGACTCGAAAGGAAAGTTTTAGAGCGAAAGTAGCTCGCTAAGACCCAAAGACGAGGTTCCATCGGTATTTGAGGCGGGTATCGAGATTTCTGGCATCATGGAGATACAAGGGTCCAGCAGCAGATCCTGCTCTGCGCTCAAAGAGGTCGGGCGAGTGCTAGTACTCGAGATGCTGTTTCTGTCACCTCCATTCATGGGAGACACCCAATCTTGTTGCATAGGGAAGGTGTCTCCCGTGCTTGTCATCATTCCGATTTCTTCCTCGCCAGGGTCATCTTCCTCCATGGCCTCCATCGGTCCGTCTTCTTCCCCGAACAGGTTTTTGCGACGGGATCGCGTCGTCGGCATAGATGCCTGCATACTGGATGGCTCCCGCACACATGCGTCACCCGTATCTGCACATGTGGAGCAAGGATGTTTAGAGTCGCATTTGGTTTTACGTCTCCGACAGGTTTGGCAGGCCAGCGGCGTCCGCTTGGACGAGTCTGGGGGGACATTGTGCTGCAGCACATGGCGGTTCAGAATATCGCTAGCACCAAGTCAGCAGGACTTTTTCATGGCCAGATTTAGGCAGCCTGCCCTTACGTTCGTGCAAAGGTTCGTCCACAGATAAAGCATTTATGTGGGCGGGAGTTGGTATGGACTGCCAGATGGCGATTGAGGTGTTCTTTGCGCAAGAAGGACTTGCCACAATCAGGTCTGGTACATACAAAGGGGCCCGACGATAACAGCGGTCGGCGAGAGGGTGGAAAGTCCATTCTTGCTAGGATTGCCGATTGGGAGTTTAAGGGAGCGGGCTGCGATCATGGGTTCTACCAGCTTCGGGGTTGTGGGGGGGGTGGGGAAAGTGAAAAATGGATCGACCACGCCGTCACACTGTGAGACAGAGGGCGAACTCGACGCAAACTACCACCGCATGGAGGGGGGGGGCCTGGAATCCCAGCATGGCTAAATTCGTGGCCACGGCGGATGGAACCCCTGTTTAGCTTGACCAGGGTGTTCTTGACGGTGCCTGCGCCGTTCCAATGGTGCTATTGAAAGGGGTCACCGGAGGAAGGCTGGGAGATATTCTAGAAGAACTTCCCTGACCGTTCGAAAGAAGTTGTGCTTTTTGGTAAGTAAGGCCTCCGTGTTGCGCAAAAACAATAATGAACAATCAGTGGGGAATGTTTAATATGGAGAGCCGGTCCTCTGCTCGGATAACACGGTGAATCCGGTCAGCACCCAGAAAGCGTGCAATCCAAGTTACGCTAAGAGTCCAGAGAACTAACCCATGTTCGACTGTCAGCGCTCGTGCTCAGCTCGGACCTCCATTTCAGATCTAACAAGTAACCAGTGCACCGAAAGCCTCACGTCACTGGGCTAGGCTGTTGCTAGTGCGGGGCTCTTGGACCACTCAGGATCGTATCCCGAGGGGGTGACTGGGGGCTCTAGTTCACCGATTTCAACCATCCCATTTCTCCCCAGGAAGTCCGGCGGATAGTACGGAATAGTTGTTCATCCATGTGGCAGTGGATGTGCACTAGTCGATGGGTTATAGACCCCCAACGGGTTATGTAGTGGCGCATTCCAAGGCGACAATACTGATCGGGTAGCCCACCTTATCTTACTGAGTGTGAAAGGATGGCCATGTTTTCTTCCCTTTCTCTTTACTTTTTGCAGGCAACTCCAGTGGAGTATATATAAGGACCATCAGCCAAAAACCACCGTGCTGCTGGCTAAAATTGGACCGTCGGAGGCATCGATGCCTGTACCCAAAGGGTAGCTAGTGGATGCACCCTAACGCATTAGTCCGATAAGTGATGCCAAGGCTATTGGATGGTCGACAGCATCCCTGAGACTGACCCTCCTCTCATTACAGGGATGTATAAGAGTTTGACCTCACGAACTTGGTACATTGACAATGATTGGTTCATAAATCATAAGCATTCTACACGGGTTGTGGCGGTGGTTAAAGTGCCTGACCTGCGATCCGATACGTTCACATTCATAGTCGAATCTGTCGCTGGCGGCATTTATGTCCTACAATCACTTCTTGGACCATGCTATCTTGTATTGTAAGCCTTACCCCCGTCAATTTAATAATATTTAATTACCTTTGATGATCCGTGATTAAGCACTTACTAGGTCCTGAGCCTGAATGCTGATCCAAACTCTGGATCCGATCCTGGCATAAGATCCTGGCGTGGATCAACAGGCCTGTAATTTGCTGCATACTATGTAGCTTCGACCTCCATGTAGATCCAAGTTCCACCAAAAACAGTGCCACCGAAAGTAAGCGCCCGCGGGAACAACCGACTTCCAAAAATAGGGTAAGAGAATCATGTGACACTATGTCAAAAGAGCCAATCAGAACCCCAATCAGAAACATAGGAACCAGTATCGCAGGCGACAGCTTGACCTAACATATATATGCACTGACTTGCGGAATTGAACAGGGTTCAAAAGAAGCAGAAAAAATGGAGCAAAAAAAAAAAAAAACTCGTCAGTGACAGAATTCGACTGTACGCGAACGTATCAGATTTCGAGTCTGACGCCGTAACCTCTCGGCCACATTGACTTGTGAGTGAATGAATGCTTTTATGTTATGAAGCAAGCACTATTGGCTTTCTTAAACTGGGTTCAGAAGACTATCCAGATATAGCATTAGTCAAGCTATTTATGTATATATCCTGCAATCTATCCGGGAAATACCCATAAGGTAAGAGTTAAACATCCACCCGCAATGAGTGATTATGAGATGTTGGTGTAGAAATGTTGCTTAGCCTCTTTCTGTCACTATGTTCTATCTAGCGTTACATTCATTTCTAGTAGAGTGTCCAGCTTAACCCCTTGACTCCAGTTCTTTCTGCATGTCTTGATAATATACATAGACAGTAGTGCCTTATCAACCGACATAGCCCCCAGTACCGGTATCGAGATCCAGATTCGCCGGCGTAACTACCAATCCACCATTACCTGCAGGACAGATGCTTAGGAGAGGCCCTGCCTGCCTCTAGAAGATGGTACTCTGGCCTAGACCGGGCCCAAGAGTCATCGCGGGAGCATGGTGAGTCATGTACGGTGACTTGTATAACGGCAGTGACGAGCGTTTACTACGTCAAGAGGCCGTAATATCGACCCGGCTGGCGCCTGCCTCTTCCCTTCCTTTTTCATCCCTCCTCCTCTTTCTCTGTCTCTCTCTTCCTCTTCCTTCACCCATCCTCTCCCTCTTCCTCCATCCATCCTCACTGTTCCTATTCTTCTTCCTATCCTTCCTATCTGCCCTTACTCTGATTATTCTTATCCTTTCTGTCTGTTCCTACTCTTCATATTCTTACCTGGTCTGTTCTTATTCTTACCCCTGTACTTATTCTTATCCTTCCTGTCTGTTCCTGTTCTCTCTTATTCATATTCGGCGTTTTCTCCCTCTCCTCCCCCCCCCTCCTCGGTCGGCCTCGATAATCTATCCTTGTCCTAGATTCGTTGACGACCGTTGACCATTCCTTAGCCTCTCCTCCTCCTCCACCACCCACCAGAGTGGTTCAAATCCCAGCGAAGAGCGGGTTCAAGTCCCAGGGTGTCATCGGGTTTAAATATTCAGCAAGCGAGTTAGATAGAGAAATCCCAAGCATTGTGCGGGTTCAAATCCCAGCGAAGAGCGGGTGCCCGTGGCCAGGGGGGAAACTGGGCCGGCCACGGGTCTCCAGTGACGAGCTCGCACCTCACCGTGGTACTGGAGTCTAGTAGCCGCAAGGCGAAGCTAAGACGAGCTCACTTTGTATATACGGCGGCATCAGCAGATACTTCCTGATAAGGATAGGGATATCGGGAAAGGAGAACACTTTCGCCTGTTGGGGTTTGGTGCTTTTTAAGCCGGATTGGTGTTTTCGAGCCCTTTGTAGTATGGTAGGTGTCATGGTTCATGGGGCAAGTAGTCCAAGGGCATACATCCGCTGGGCTTGTTGGGGATCGGAAGTGAATGTGAGAGCATCTATGCAATGTTTGTACCCATTTAATCGCCTATCACACAGAGTTTCAGATATACATTTTATGCCGCTACCTTTCCAACATATATCACTGACCATCTACCTCCCACTTCAGACAGCTCTCCCCGACCCCAGGACATCCTAAACAACACCATCAACAAATCCAATATACGAGTACCACACAGATCTCAATATACCCACACCAAAACCAGCTCCCCAAGAGCGCCATCCGTTCTCAAACCCCGGACATTCAGGCAAGATATCAAACCTGAAGACCCCGTCCCGTTCCAGTACACATAGCTAACTGTTACAATAATCACAAGACACGCACCCCTTCCAAACCCCCTCAAACCACTCATCCCCATCCCCAACCCCCCAAAGACATAATCCAAACTCCCCCTCACTAAAAAAAAAGACAAAAAGAAGAACTCCCCGACTGGGAGTCGAACCCAGGTCTCCCGCGCTTGTTCCTGTTAAGGATTGACAAGCGGAAATCATGACCGTTAGACCATCGAGGAATTGATATGTGAAGCTTCTCGATATTTAGCTACATAAGCCCACACCAAGATTTTCACCGTTTTCAGAACCGTTAGGGCTATCATTGTTGGTTGAGTGGGGCAGACCCGAATAGACATGGAGTTTGGTTCTGGGTCCTCCGTAGGGCGTGGATACTATCTCGATATGGATGGGGAAGGGTTGCATTTTCCTGTGATTTTCGTTTCTTGGTTGCATTGCGATTTTTCTTTGTTGATAAGCCACGAAGGTTTGATTGGTATGTAGGTAGTAGGTACTAGGGAGGTACTTTGTAGATATCTATGGAGTGCTCCGTAGGTAGGTAGGTAGGTAGTAACTGGACTATGTAGTAAGATAGAATTGGGCATCCGTTCGTTGGGTCGGGTTGGTACCCGAGGCTTTGACAACGGAGGTTGTATGTATGTAGGCAGTAGTGTAGTATCAATGCCGATGATGGTGAAGATGACTGTTTGAATCTAGAAGTAGATAGTTCCCGTTCTCGATCTCCTATATTTGAATTAGCCTGTCAGTTATACTATCCATATAGAGTATAGTCTCTCTATAGATAGGTAAGTGGAGTTAATTCAATGCTATGAGTACACCATACCACCTGCTCATACCTATTGCTTGGCATCCATTCTTTCTTTATAGAACCAGCCCATCTACAACAATTCACCTATGAGGTAAAAGCCAGCTACTATAGCATTACTTTCCTGCTTTCTTCCACAAAGATCCTCGATGGTCTAACGGTCATGATTTCCGCTTGTCAATCCTTAACAGGAACAAGCGCGGGAGACCTGGGTTCGACTCCCAGTCGGGGAGATCTTATTTTTGTCTTTTTTTTTGTCGGGGGAGTTAATTGGGTTCTATTTTTGAGGGGAGAGCGTGACGATACTCTGCCAACTTGAATCATATTGACATGACGCTGAATCAATTAATGCCTAGTTACCACCACCAAGGTATGTATCCAAATGCGGGCTGCAAAAACATACTTCGAATCAAACGGAACCGCCTATGTTCAAGACAATAGAATAACGGAGACAAGCCTCCCAGAGCGCGTTCT